TGAAACTGCTCCTTACCATTCATTGAACAGTTTGGCCCAAAAGTAGATTACACGGCTCCATTCATACGGATTTATTTTATGGTTTCTTGGGTGTCAATATCGTCATTCATGTCTTGAAGATGCACACTTTTATATGGGATGGAATGACAAGAGGGAGATTAATTGGCATAATTTTCATTTTTTGTTGAACTAGGTATATAATCAACATTAATCTTTATAAAAGTATCTCAGAAATTTACCAGCAAATACACAGGAAATTTTCCCAAAAGGATGTGCTTCTTTAAGGTGTAGCTATGAGAACGTACAAAGCGGGTTAGTTGTAGAAGTATCTGGGGTGATCATGAAGTAAAACAGGTCGGCCTCAGATGGGTGTGCACTGCTGTCAAATCTGGGTTCTAGAAGTAAAAAAAGGAAAAACAAGTTTAAGACATTCAAAAAATTACAGTACAAATATGTTTGTCAAAGTGTCAATAAAGACATGGTTTATTTTAGATATTATTATTAAATATAATAAAAAATATTGAAAACATTTAAGGTAGCAACACACATTTTTAGGGGTTGTAGGGTGTGAAGTGTTTTCTTAGATCTGTGAAAAAAATAAAAGAAATACAGTGGTTACATGTATACTTCGAAAACAGCTGCCACAAGCACTTGTCCTAAATATGACAAATAATTCTTCAGTTAAAGGCAAGTTCCACTATTGTTGTGAATTGTAGATTACAGACACATTCATTCCTTGATATTTGCATACTTTACAAGAAAGAAAGAAAACTTCTATACATATCTACTTGAGGCCTCAGTCATAAAACCAATTGAAAAGCAGCATTCCCTCTGGATTAAAGTAGTAAGTGTTTCAACACAGCAAAGCAATAATTACTGCAAGACAAAGAGCTCGTTCAGTTTAAACCTTAAATGTGTGATCACGTGATGACTATGATTGTGATGTATTAAAAATATTGACAATAACATGCTTAACTTAAAAATAACTTCAGTGACCAAAGCCTTGGTTCTTTATTCTCAGTTTGAATCTTTGAGATGATTCTTGATTCTTTTTTTATTCAGTTCAATTCTTGTTTTTTTTTATTTTTTATCATTACTTTTATTAATAACTATGATTATTTACTTTATAGTCACATCGATTTTATCACAGCTAGATATCCCTCGAAATATATTGGGTGTGCGTCAAAGAGGATTTGATTTTTTTTTTAAATTAAATTATTTTTCAATTTTTCTAATTACTATCAATAAGTTCTAACTTTGATCATTGGTTATTTGTCAGTGGTGATCTCTGTCACAGTAATTTATTTTCCAGAAGCAGTCCCTCTGATCTGACGTCACTTTCCTCATATTTCTAAAAGCATGAGCTCTCCACTGGACAGAAGTCAATATTTGGCGACCTCATTGTCACTGTCCCCCGCTGCATTCTTCAGACAGCCGTGTGTTTGCATGGAAGTGAAGGCTGCATCTGAGTGGGAGTCTCACAGGGACAAGAGTGCATTGATTTTTCCGTCAGTGCTAATAGATTTAGCAGCTCAGTTCTGACCTCTCTCTCTCTCTCTCTGCTCAGAAGAAAACACTCTGTGACTCGGTATGAATGATGTTCAAACAGAAGCCAAGGCAAGCGCTCAGACGTGCCGTGTTGTGATTATCCAGCGCTGCGTGAAGCTGTGTGTACAGTTTGAACAGATATCTGGAGAAACACATCAGGACACTGTGTTTCTGAGGCCGTACAGTCCATGAAATGCACTGTGGGGGTTTATGTGGTTAACTTCCACTAATGCATGTTTTTTATGAAGTCGACATGCAATCAAAATTGACCTTTTACATTGTTTTAAATACATTTCTGATCTTGTTGGGCTCAAGTAATACGTTTATGTAATATTCGTGTTCATAATATTTCATCTAAATGTAATTTAATAACTCTGTCTCTCTCTGAAAATACTTTATTTTCAGTTGATGTCACCATGTCCATATTTTTTGAACCCCTCGCCTCCTACCACATGACTGCATTCTGGTATGAATCAATTCCTTGGTATATAATCTAATCTGACCTTACATCTTTTCTCACTGAATATCATTGCTGGTTTTTGTGTTTTTATTGGTTGAGCAAAGAACCATTTTCTTCTTATGAACCATTTGTCGCAGTATGGGGTTCTTTCTACGTGGAACAGAATGGTGTAGAAATCATTTTTCGATCAGAAATTGCTGGCAGAATCAGCTATAACACACTGAATTAAATGTGAAGTAGAAAGAATTAAATATTTATTTTATATACTCTAATAATCTTTTTTTTATTTAACATATTTTTTCTTAAATGCAGTGTATAGTTCAGGTCCTGTTTTACTTCAAATAATAATTATGTATTATTTATTAATAAATAATAAATAATCTTTTTTTTATTTAACATTTTTTCTTAAATGCAGTGTATAGTTCAGGTCCTATTTTCAAATAATATAAATAAATAAATATATATATATATATATATATATATATATATATATAACAATTGAGATGATTTGTTTGTTTAAAATGTTTATTTGGGGGACATTTATTAATTTACTTACTCATGTTTCTTTATTTTATTTGGCATTTGTATATTATATTCATATATTTTCATGACAATTTAGCACCATTCTCATTACTACAATGCATATGTTTGATTTTACTTTATTCTTTTATTTTCTTTTTAACCTTTTTGATTTGTTAATTAAATTAAATGTAATTAAATGCATTCTCATTATTCTCATACTGCATAAATGTGGATTTTAAAGTATATAAAAAGTACATCATTTTTTCATATTACATTTTTTATATTTCTTTTTTTTTCATCATATTATTATATATTTTTTTACATTATGGTAATGACAATTGAGAGGGGAAATTTGCTTGAGTGTCATGAAAACAGTGTCAAAAATGTTAATTAAACTAAGTAAAATATAATTTCCTATTTTTTTTTCATTTTGAAATATGACCTGGACATTTTTTGTGACAGGTTTTGTGTAATTCACCTACATATCACCCTTTAAACAAATAAAACTCCTGGTTTTGTAGTAGATGTTGTTGTTGTTTTTCTCGAGGATAAACTTATGAAGGTTCTCCTATGGCATATAAAACCCC